ATTGCATTTACATAAAAATATTTATTTTATTTTTTTTATAAAGGTATCTTAATATTTCATATATCTTGATATTTTATATCAATATTTAAAATTATCATAATTTTTAGTAAAATTTTTTCATATTTGGTAGAACTATACATAAGATTATTATTACTAACATTATAATAATAATAATAACTATAAAAATAGTGCTCCTAACCATAATTTTTTTACCATGCAGTTATAGTCACAAATACAAAATCTTTTTCTCTCATTGTCAATTGTAATTTTTTTGTCAGTGTAACTTTGTTGAAAATTCAAATTATGGTAGAATAATCAAAACGTTTTATAAAAATGCTCATTTTTTAAATTTTCTACAAAATTATTTCAGTAGTCCAAAAATTATTTTCAGTTCCGATACATCCAATAAAATTTTTCTTCCAGCAAAATCGTTCCTTCCGTGAAGAAACGTTGCTTTACAACGTGAGACATAAAGCAAGAAATTATATATTGATATAAATAGCGGAATATGCGACACTCTCACAGGATGGAAAGTGCATTAATCATACAGTCACGTGGCAACAATAGCGTAGGAGAGGGTTAATCACCTTCCAATAATCAATAGCGAGTAAAAAGCGCTCTAATACTGACGTACAATGGGGCGCTCGCGTGATTTCAGGGCTTCATAAAGATCTACAAGCAGTTCTTCCCCCAGGGTGACCCGTCGAAGTTCGCCTCCCTCGTCTTCAGAGTCTTCGACGAGAACGCCGTGAGTTTCTTGTCACGCGTGTAAAACGCCGTGGCTCTTCTCCGACGAACCCTCTTCAAATTCGTCAGGTCGAAGCGGCGCTTTGCGTGCACGAGCGATCACGCGACGCGACGCGCGGCGGCGCGGGCGGCGGCCGGCTAGCGACTACCTCACTCGCAAATTATTTTTCTTCCTCCTCGCATACGGCCCTCGCAATGTCTTTATTGCCGTTTAATCGCCCGTCGGCGTCAGATAACAGCCCGTCTGTTAATTTACATCGCAAAAGTCGCACGGGGAAATAAATTCACGCGCCCGAGGATCCGAGATAATCCGTATTGATCATCGCGACGTTTAATTAGCGCCTGACTCCTGCAAGGCAATCGAGCGAGCGCATATATTCGGTATTCGCGCCGCGCGACTCGAGTGTGTGTTTATTGAAAATATTGAGAAATATCCGAGAGACGGAAATTTCCCCTCTCGGATTTCTCTCCCGCGGGACTATTCGATTTGCGGCCCGGCGGGAGGGGAGGGGAGGGGAAGGGGGGAGGGAGAAAAATACGAGAGAGGCAGAAAACTATTTGCACAATGTGTCGGGCCGACACACGCCGGTTTGCTCGACTGGCAACCGATAGCTATTCCGCCGTCGGAGAAAGAAACGCGATCGCACAAAGTGATCCTCGAAGTGGTTTCGCCGCGCCGGATCGATAGGAGAGGAGCGACGACGTCTCGCGTGCGACAAAAATAAGAATACGCCGGATTGTTGTTTCAGGACGGCACGATAGAGTTCGAGGAGTTCATAAGAGCGCTCTCGGTGACGTCGCGCGGCAACCTGGACGAAAAGCTTCACTGTGAGTACTCCACGCGCCCCCGTTATCTCCCTCGAGAAAAAAAACTTACCCACTCGAATTTGGCTGAGTTCACTCGCGGGTCGCCACTTTTGTTTACCCATCCACTTTGGATACGTCGCGGGAACACTCCTCGCGCCGCGAATTCTCTTCGAATTTACTTGACGCGATTGAGTCAATTTAAACTTAGCTTTGTCGGTGAAAATAAAAGTTCGCCGCTAGTAGTCTTGCTAATCTTTTATAAGAAATCGGAACTAGTGTCAGAAACGTACATGGAACGATTTTGTTGAGAGGTCTAAAAATTGTGCTGAATACAGATCTGAAAGTAATTGTCTGAAAGTTGTTGAATCATCAAAATAATTTGTTGGAATGTTAAAACTGATAAGCATACAAAACGTTTTGATGTTCTAGCAATCATTTTGACTTTCGCACAAAATTATTCTGATTATTGAACAAAAATTATTTTCAAATCTGGATTCAGCAAAATTGTTCTTTTCGTGTAAAATCGATGAGAACAATTTTTCAAATATACGGACAAAACAATTTTGCTGAATCCAGATCTGAAAATTTTTGTTCAATAATCAGAATAATTTTGTGCGAAAGTCAAACTGATTGCTAGAATATCAAAATACTTTATAGCAATGCTTATCATTTTTAATTTTCCAACAAAATTTATTTTGATGGTTCAACAAGAATTATTTTCAGATCTGTATCCAGCAAAATTTTTAGACTTTTCAGCAAAATATCTTTCTTTCCGTGTAAAAATTTTGATAAAATTGCATTCAATTAAAATTAAAACACGTTATAATTTTTATACTCGATTATCGAACAATAAATTAATATCCCGATCCTTTCTGGAAATGTCATTTCCAAGAAGAAAATACGCATATTGTAATCGTTACGCATAAAATTCGAGACGACTTATGAAAGACGATCGCGCAACGTAAGAAGATAAACCCCCTCACGATCGTTCTCTCCTCGGGGGAACTATTATCGATCACAATCTCAACATAAGTGAAGAATGAAAGCTTCGCCGAGAATGTCGCGGTCGGGATATCGTCCCAAAGAGACGGAACTTACAAGCGCGCTCGGGAGAATCGTGCGCAAAACCGATAATAACCGATTAGATACACGGTTTTCTCATTCCGAACAAAAGCGCATCTTTGGGTCTTCCGTGTCTTTGGGAGGAATTTTCGGAAAGCGGAAAGTCAATCGGCGTTTTTCTCCCTTTCCTTCGCTTCTCTTTTCAGGGGCCTTCCGTTTGTACGACGTGGACAACGACGGTTTCATCACGAGAGACGAGATGTACAATATAGTCGACGCGATATATCAGATGGTTGTAAGTGCATCCCTTTCAAATTACTTTCTGGCCTTTGCGAGACGGCGTATAGCTCACGACGTCAAACGGTTTTGTTGCTCGCTCCACGATTTTCGTTTGGTTCTTGAATGCGTCTGCAGAGAACGAACGACTTTACTGAAAGATCTAAAATTTTGCTAGTTACAGGTCTGAAAATAAATTCGATTGGGCGAATGGTAGAAACGCAAAATGACTATCAAAATATCATAATTTTTTGATATTTTAACATTATCTTTTTTTGACGGTTTAACAAAATTTGAGATCTTTCAGCAAATCTTTTGTTACTTCCGTGTATTTACCAGTGTCTATTCTGTGATTTTCTTAAAATAACGTAAGGTTTCCGCCCTGTTGACGATATTTGTAGAATTTGATGATGATCACGAATTCGTAAAATATTTCTGCACGGAAAGAATGATTTTGTTCGGAGGTCTAAAAATTTTGCTGGATACAGATCTGAAAATAATTCTTGTTGGAAAATCAGAAATGACACACGGAAAGAACAATTTTGCTGAATCCAGATCTGAAAATAATTTTTTGTTCAATAATCAAAATAATTTTGTGCGAAAGTCAAAGTGATTGCTAGAAAATGATAAGCATCTTTAACTTTCCAACAAAATTATTTTGATTGTATAACAAAAATTATTTTCAAGCTCAATTTATCTGAATCCAGCAAAATTGTTCTTTCCGTGTAAGAATCAGAAAGAGATGATAAAGAGCAAAAGAGTTAAACTGCAAAAATTAATCTACACAGAAAGAACAATTTTGCTGAATTTAGATGCTGAAAATAATTTTTGTTCAATAATCAAAATAATTTTGTACAAAAGTTAAAATAATTGCTAGAATATCAAAGTTTTATAGCAATGCTTCTCAGTTTTAACATTCCAGCAAATTATTTTGATGATTTAATAAAAAATTATTTTCAGATCTGTTTTTAGTAAAATTTTTAGACCTTTTAATAAAATCGTTCTTTCCGTGTACCCTGGTAGAAACAGACATTAGACTGATCTTGTTTTAGCTCTTTAAAAAAAAATTTAATGAATCATTACTTTTGAAGTCACCTTTTAACGGTAACGAGTTACTTTTAAAAATCACTAACTACGCTATAACTGTAGTTATAATTACTTTTAAAACTAACTTTTACTTTCCATTCTTTGCTTCGCACGTACTTTGAACTGCGCTCAAACTCGTTCACCACATGTAAGTGGTGACTTAACGATTTAAATTAAACAATTTAAATTGTGCCAATGCGGTGTCTGCGTTTCCTTTTGTTATCATGAATGTCAAATCCTCGGAGTACCGCGAGCTCCCACAGCGCGGCGTCAAGATTGCAATACAGTCCCAAAAACAAGCTCCGAGCTCGTGGACGTTATGCACATATTCCGTCTCCGCTGCGAAATATTTAATTATAAAGTCTATTAAAAATGTATCGCATTACAAAATTTATCATATTTGAATGCCCCGAATATATATTTCGTCCAGGCGCGTCACAAGTAAATTATTAATAAACGATCGATACGCGGCGGCGAGGCCCGCGGTTAATTGGATCGCTCGAGCCCGACCGTTCGTTCGTACATACACCGCTAACGTAATGCGCTCTCATTTCGACAATAGTGGGATTTTTACTTTCGAATCCACGAGAGAGTCGTCAAAGCGCGATGCGAAATGAGATACAATCCACGAGTGTCGTTTAAAGGAGTCATTATTACTCGGGAATGTGTATCGCGCGACGGCAGCAACCGGCGGCTCATAATTCTCAGTTCTTCACAACCTCGATTCCCCATTTCGCGTCCAAACTCCGCTCCTCGAGTGTCGTCGACAGGCGCGATACGCGCGAGTCATTAGCCGCGGGAAGTTAATTAATCGTTCGAAAAATACCAAGAGTGGTGCGATCGCATTTCAAGGGATAATAATAGCACGACGACACGCACCGGTATAAGATATATAATAGGGTAAACCCGGTATATACACTGCACCTATTAAAAACTTAATTTATCAGATATTATCTATTAAGTTTCAGTTAAATGAACTATGACAGTAAAAACTTTATACCGTTTACTATTATAAAAAGAATATTAGGAATCCAAGTTATTTATTTTTTTGTATTAAAAAAGAAATTTTTTTAAACCCTTGCAGTTTTGCCTTATAAAAATAGGGGTGGGTTATACGGCTACTCATGAGTGGGATAAATGACTCGAAAAATATAAAAATAATCTAAATAATAATAGTGAATAACACATAAATTGATAAAGTAATTTGCATTTACTTATTAATAAATAAATAAAGAACGTATTATTACAGATTATGAATAAGTACACTGTGAAAAAAAATTACTTAAAACAAAAAAATATGTTTCAGGTACCCCTCAAAAAAATAATTTCTTGAAGTAAGTAAAATTGTTTTGTTTTAAGTAATTTTTTTTCTCAGTGCAAACACTTTTACTTAAAATTAAAAAATTTTACTTGCTTCAAGAAAATTATTTCTTTGAGGGGTACCTGAAACATATTTATTTGTTTTAAGTTATTTTTTTTCACAGTGTACATACATAAGTACATATAAGTATATACATACATGAATGTTATGATTAATGTATTGTAAAGGGCGTATTATCACGTATTATTATTTATTTTTATATTTATAAATAAATAATAGAGCTATGCTACGGCATAAATCCCACGCGCTAAAAATGCCGTATATCCCAAACAGATGAGATATACGAGACAATACAAGAGCTAAGCACTTGTATTTTGCTATACTCTATCCTTTACTAATCCTCTAAACTTATATACCATGAAATAACCACAAAGCCTTTCACATGTCCTACAATAATCATTTTATGTAGATTACAACTTATGATTGCGCTACTTATTACAGTGATAAATCGATTTAACTTACAATAATTTTATAAATATTAACAGTAAAAAACTGAAATCACAACACAATACTAATATAACATAAAGGCATGTAACAGAGTGGTTGCGAGAAAATTAGTTTCTTCTATTTTTCTGACTTCTGCGGCGTAAATCCTCGCGCGGCGTATATACCGGGTTTACCCTACCTGTTGGGGTGCCGCGCCGCGCCGCGTCGCACGAATGATGACACGACGGCATGCCACAAGGCCACCTATCCCGTCTGTTCCCCGTCCCGAAACATATCTAACACAGTGAAAAATAAATGTATATTTCATTATTTTTTTTTAAATTAAATTCGGCAAATATATTATCTCGACAAAGCTGTTCTCATTTTTATTATTATTTTGTGGACTCATTAGCGACTCCAAGGCCAATGGCACACAAAAAAACTTAATTAAGCAAATCAACATTTTTTATTTGTAAATAACTGAATAGTGCCTATGAGAAATCCGACACGAGTGTTAGTGTATAATAATTTTTATTGTTACAATATCCAACGACATACAAACTGCGCGTCACATTTTTGTCGGTCTTGAAACACAGTTCTTACGATAACACCGGAATTGTAACGAATTAAATTAGCGAGCAATTTAATATTATTTGATGCCAATATGCGTCTGATAAGAATTCTCTCCTCCAAACCTGTGAAAAAATTTTTTATATGCTTACTTTACTGTCTTACTGTTCTCTATTATTACTGTGACAATTCATTCAGTACTTATGTCTTACTTATGTTCTTTTATGTGCCATTAGCCATAAGATAATACGATTTTCCTCTTGATATTAAAAACATTTGAAAATCTATTGTTACTTGTATTTCTTTTTTTTTTAACAAGTACGTAGTATAATTTAATTGATATGAAATATATATTTGAGTAATTTATGTGTAATAATTAAAATTTGCTACATATAGACGTGTGTTATGTATTAATGACAAGTTTTAACTTACCATTAACCTAACACTTATAAAACTAAATTATAATTTGTCTTAATTTTTCTCTAATTTTTTATGTCCCTAGAACAGCATAAAAATTACAAAATAAAATTCTTCTTGCCATAAAAATTGGAATGCTTAATTTAAGCTGAATTAAAAAAAATTATTCAAAAACCTATTTAAATAATTATTTAAAAAATTATTTAAAAAATCAAAATATATTGTTTTAATCAAAACAATTTATATTCATGTAGATTATTTTGTTATTATTACTCTTTTCTCAAATTTTTATTAGTGAGAGTGAAATGTAATTTTACTAAATAAATTATTCAAAAAAAGTAAGTTTTAATCGCAAATAAATCAAAATCATTTAAATCACTGTGTGCTATAAAAAATAAAGTAATTTAATTTTATATTTTTCTATCGATTTATTAAAATTACAATTTTACTGTTGTTAAAAAATTTGGAAAAAAATAATAAAGACAAATTAATTTCCATAAATATTTTTCAATTGGGACGATGATAAACTTAATTCCCTTCAAATGAACATTTGATTGCCAGTGATATGTGTTTACAAAAAGCTAATTTCTAAATAATAGTGAATCTCTTGCCGATCGATATGCAATGGCAATAATATCATCGTGCATGTATTAATTATTGCTGCACGTACAAAAATGAAAATAAGAAATAATAACCTACAGCTTCTTTTTGTAGCATTTTGTTTCATTGTGAATTCAAATCAAGTTGTCCACATGAGTAATTCCGCAACTGCTCATCTGAACATTTAAACTGTCGGAGTTATTTAAACGCGATCTCTTTTCTCCAATCGCATCTCTCTTTAGAATTGATTATTAAACCACAGGAAACGAAGGAGCTTGGAGCTTTATTTTAAGACGAACGTCATTTGAGTTTCTCGTTTAAATCGTAATTAAATATAACATTACGGATATTGAGAATTGATTCTCAAGATAAATTTATTATAAAATCATACAGTGTCTTTTGAAGTCTCCGGATTTCAACCGAGTGCTTCAGCAAAGAAAGGATTACAAGTGCGGGCTTAATTTCTTTTTATTCAAGAATATACACTTTTAAAGTGCGTGGCAAACATATACTCTGGCTGGGTGGAACTGCAATTTCCACCGTAACGCTAATTAAATTACAAATACAAACAAAGCGCGCGCGTCTCTGATTGCGCAGTTTGAAAGGCAAAACTTGGAAACTGCGTTACTGCCAGCGAGACGCGGAAAAACTCGCAGAATGTGCAACGAAATTCCCTCCTCCTCTCTCCTTGGAGGGAGGAAGGGTCCGGGTAAAATACCTCGTCGCTTCACAGGGCATGTTTTATGCCGGATATCGCGCGCCGATGCAAATTTTAACGTATAAAATTCGACGCGACCGCGGCAAATCCGTCTCGCGACAACAACGGCTCGCCATTAATCACCCCGAAGTCTCGTTAATATTAATTTCAAAGAGAAATACAGTGACACATTATGCGCATACCCGCGAGGCGCGCACACGCGGTAATCTATAAACATGCTCTGGTCGCGCGGTCGACAAAGGCCCCGGCGAAACTTTGACAGACTCGGTCGACTTTAAAACAGGCAAAGCCGATCGAGTTGCGTAGCGTAACACGATTGAGCGCAATTGATGAAGCCAGATCATGATGCGGGGAG